GGGAGGTGAGCTGGGGTCTAGGGTGGGGGCCCAGATCTGGGGTGAGGTCAGAAGGTGAGCCAGGGTCTTGATCAGGATCAGCGTCTTGAGTCAGGACCAGGATCTGGGGTATTGGTGTCTAGACAGAAGGCGTCCCAAGATCTTCTATCCTTGTTACCTCAGCAGTCCCGCGGCCTGCCCACTTACCGTGCCTCCGGCGTTCCGCCATGCAGGACCCCAGAAGACAACTCCGCAGTAGCAGTAGCTTGCCGGCCTGATCTGCGCGTTCTGCACTTCCGGGTTCCTCCCCTCTAGGCCCGCCCACAGCAGTAGAAGTGCCCAATCCGTATTCGCGACCTCTGCCACTGGCTGTCCGTCCCCTGAATTCCTGTCATAGATTGGCTATAACTGAGGCTGTGGGCGTACCCGCGGCCTTGAGACCCCGCCTGTGGGAGTCTCGCTGTCGGGCATGCGCAGAGGGAGGGCGGCGCGAACTGGGCGGGGTCTCGTGGCCGGCAGCTCTGGCCTTGGGGCGGAGCATAAGCGCGGGCGGCACCTGCTCCACAGGGTGGCCGACCTGAGAGCGCCGGCGCTGGAAAGGTGGTTGCAGGTGAGAAGCCGACTGAGGAGCGAGAGAGATGAGCACTACCTCCAAGCTGGAGGTTCGTACCTTAGGGCACCCGCCCCGGGTGCCCCCACCCGACCCACTACCGCGCTCGTCTGGACAGAGTAATTGGGAGATGCCCACCATCCTCAACCACCCACTGCCCGCCAGGAGATGCCCACCGCCATGGCCACCCAGGAGATGCCCACCACCGACCACGCATCACCATGGCCATCCAGGAAATGTCCACCACCAGTCCCACTCCACCCTGGCTGCCAGGAGATGCCTACCAGGGGCCCCACCCACCTATCCATGGCCTACCTGACCCCTCTCGGCTCCCTGCTCTTCCTGTTACCAGGGACTCTGCCCACCTGTCTACTCACTCTGAGACCCACCACTTTTGATTTCTTCCTTGAGTTCATTTCTTCATATTTCTTGAGGTCTGTACATCAGGCACTGCTCCCCACTGCAGGGTCCAAGAAGAGTAGAGAGACAGAAGTGATAAGGATGCCCGGGGCACATCCTATGGAAATGGCTTCTTTGGAGAGATTTGAAGCAGGAAGGAGATGCCTCTGACAAAGGAGGCCTTCCTGGAAGGTGATTGAACCAGGTTTGAAGTAGGCAAGGGAGCAGGACTTGGTGGTGTCTGGAAGAAGACAGCACAGAGCAGAAGAATGAATGCCAAGTGTCTCAAAAGAGCCGCTCTATCTGTGTTCAGGGAACAGCACCAAGGCCAGGGGAAAGGAGGCCCTTGCCAGGGCAGGTCGTGTAGGGAGGCTGCTAACTTTGGATTTACGAGGAGTGGGATGGAAAATCATTAGACATTTCCGAGCAGAGGAGTGAAATAACCCGATGTACGTGCTGAGAGTAGATGCTAGTGGGAGGAAGCATGGAGATGGAGTTTGAGTCCTTTGCAGTAAGAAAAGGTGTTGGCGGCCAACAGCTGAGTGGTAGCACTGGAGGTTGTAGGAAAAAATGGTTAGATTGTGGGTATGTTTGAAGGCCAAGCCACATAACTTTTCTGATTGACCAAATCAGGATGTGACAGAAAAAGAGAAAAGTAGAATGGCTGTAAATTTTTGGTCTGGAAACTGAAGGCCGGTGTTGCATTGATTCGGTGGAGACTCTTTGGGAGGGTCTTTGTTGCATGGTGGTGTACAGTTTTAGACATGTTGAGTTTGAGAGGCTCACAAGGTGCATAGGTGTATGTGATCACAAAGAGAGTGAGCATAGAAAGTGGCCTGAGAACAGAGCCCTTCACCTTGGGAAGTGAGAAGATGAGGAGGTTACAGTTATGGCACATGGAAGGAGTGGCCAAGGAGGAGAGGGCAGGGGGCAGTTCTGAAGCCAAGCTGTAGAAGAGATCATTTGTCTCAATGATGTTGGTGGGCCAATATGAGGACTGATAATGGACAGTTGGACTTACCAAGGGCAGATCATCAGTGGCCTTGATTACAATAATTTTGTTGGGCAGAAGCTTGGTGAAAATTCATCAAATTTTGAAGAGAAATTGAAGATACTGAATGTAGACTACTCTCTGGTGGGACCAGGGAAATGGGGCAGTAGCTAGAAGGTTTTGAAAGGTAGAACATACACACGAACACAGAAAGTTTGTATGCTAATTAAGTTGATATTAAAAAGTGAGTGTTGCAGGAGAGGGAATTACAACCCTTGTTAGGTTGCATCTTGAACTTGACCTTCTGCACTTCATCAATCCCACTAGCATTCAAGCCTACTCTGGACTTTCCCACTACAGAATCTTCCCAGGAGCCTTACCAAAGGGGACCCAAAACACCCAGAGTTATTTTTTGGAGGGTGGGCCTCTTGTAGTACAAACTTCCCCTGCTAGGTAAGTGTCTGGGAACCTATCAACATCAGTGTATCAGCTAGTGTTGTGAGAGGCTGTGTTCGTCTTCAGTGAATTTTTTTTTTTTTTAAGATTCTTTCAGGGCATTTGCCTATTTCATGAATGGTGATTTATGAGCACACCTGCCCACACTGCACTCAGTGTTCAGCAGTTTTTGATGAAAAACAGGTTGGCCCCTACTCCCCACCCTCGATTGTTGTTTCCCCAGATGAAAAAGTCCTCAAAGGGAAACGTTTTGCTGATGTCGAAGAGGTGAAACAAAAAACAGCAGAAGCACTAAAAAGGCATCAAAATGGATAAGTTCAAAAACTTTTTTGAGCAATCAAAAAGCATCTTGATAGGTGTATTCCATCAAACAAAGAATACGTTGAAGGTGACTGAAGTTTATGCACTTAAGAATAAATGCACAATTTTTAGTAAATAAATTCCGCTTTGGGGGGTCCCCCCATATTTTTTTTTCCAGTCCTGTTTCTTCAATCTCTTCCACACCAAACTGCTTGAAAGAGTTGACTGCAAAGTCATTTCCTACCTTGATGTCTTCAGTGGACTTTGTGACCCTGTCCACCTTCTCTCCATCCTTCCCCCGGACCTGCTCCTGCTGAAGTCCTCAAGGACATCCACGTCTCCAGCTCCAGCACACACTAATCAGTGATCGTGTTACACTCTAAGGTCTCAAGAAGCACCATCTACCCAAATGCCAGGCCAGAATGGGGAGTCACAGTTGACTCATCTCCTCTCTTCCCGAATAACCCACCTGGAAAGATCACATCAAAGATCTACTTGAAGCATGTCTTATTACACTACCTGCTTTGTGTCCTCATCATCTCTCACCAGGCTTTCTCCAGGATTTTAAAATTGATCTCCCCACTCCCACTCTTGTTTTCTCCAACCCTATCTTTCTCCATCATCTCTTCTCCTCATGGCAGCCAAAATGATCTTTTAAAAATTTCACTGCCATTCAAAATCACCAAATAGAAACCACTACAGCAACAGGATATGGGAGAAATATCACACAATCATATCAATAGATGCAGAAAAAGCTTTCAAGAAAACCAACAGCCATGCATAGTTTAGGAACAAACTCAATCAACTATGAATAAAGGGAACATTCAATTTGATAAAGAACCTTCACAAAAGCCCTACAGTGAACATTATGTGTAATGGTGGAAAACTAGAACCTTTCCCACTAAGGTCAGGAACAAGGCAAGGCTGCCCCCTCTCACCACTCTATTCAGCATCACACTGGAGTTTAGCTAATGCAATAAGACAAGAAAAAAGAAATAAATGGCATGCAGATTGGGAAGGGAGAAATAAAAGTATTTGTTCACAAATGGCATGATTATCTCTTAAGGAAATCTCATCGCCCTGAAAAAATCTGACATCAAGTTTCATTGTGTGTCTGCTACAATTCAGAGTCCTTAAAGTGTCTTAAAAGACCCTTGACGTGCTCTCTGGCCATATTCAGTCACACCAAGTCCCACAGTCTCCCCAGTTCTTCAGGCCCCCTCCTCCTTCTGTCTGGAACCCTTTCCCACCCTCTGTAGTCTTGCCTGAGTCCTTCTCCCCTTCAGGGCACTGGCAGATACCACCTCTGACTTGAGGCTTGGTTGTACTGAGGTCCCAGAGCCTTCACCTGCTTCCAGTTGATCTCAGGGTTTTTGCAAACCTCCACCATTGAGGAAAGGAAGTTAGTTGAGAAACATGTCCAACCTTCCTGTTCTGAGATGCTTTCTGTACTGTTCCTGTGGAGCCCCCAGCGGGATGAGCTCCCATAGCCCACAGGAGAAACTAGCTTGCTGAGGCACCCTTCTTGAACCTTCCAGGTTTCACTCTCCCTACTTCCTCTCTCTGGTCTCCTGGGGCCATCCTCCCAAATTAACTGCCCAAATCCACACCTCAGGACCCGCTTGTGGGAGAACCTGGAGGAAGACTTAATTATGGCTTCCTCAGAAAGTTCTTCCCTCACATAATACACCATGCTGGGCGCCCTTTTCATATCCTCTAAGAACACCCTATACATTTCTATAGAAAAATGGTTGTAATTACATACTACTACTGTGATTTTTAAATGAACTCCTGTCTAGACCTAGGTAGGCTTTGGGGCCAAGGACTGTCTCTCCCTCTCTCTGCTTACACAGTGAGAACGTGTGACAGACTCTCAGCACATCTGAGAGAATAAATAAAATCTTTGAAAGCTGAAAGGATGAGGGCAGACATGGAGAGGAGGGAAGTAAGTTGTGAAGTGAAAAGAAACGTTGGTCTAGAACCCGTATGTTTATTGAGGTTTGGCCCACACACTCCATCGGTTTTTGAAAGTGGAGACAATCAGAAGATGCTAGAAACACTGAGAAATTAGGTTGCAGTCAGATCTCTTGGATTCCACCTCATCATTTAACATTTTGCTTTGAAAATAAACTACAATTGATTAATATTTGAGTGACTGATTATTTTGAAAACTCTTACAAAAAGAGGTGTTTTTGTTCAAAGATCTTGGAATTTCTGAAAAAGATTGGTGTGTCCCATTCCAAATATTTTTTATCCCCTGACTCCGTTCTAGTCTAACCACTGTCCATTTCTCCATAAACATTCATCTTGGTGTTTCAGTTTTCCCATCTCTTGTCTCATTTAAACGTCACAGCAACGCGGAGACAGATGCGGGGCAGTTCATTGTCGCATTTGTATTAAAACCGGGCTTAGTGGCCGCCCTGGGTCAGGTAACCGCTTCCCCTCTCTCCGCTTCCCGTCCCTCCCCATCCCCCAGGTAGGCCAGGATTAAACACCTTGGGGCTTTTGGTCACC